AACCTCAATCACACTGCCTGACTTTCTATAAAACCACAATCACACTGCCACAGGCTTTCTATGGAAACCACAATCACACTGCCTGACTTTCTATGGAAACCACAATCACACTGCCTGACTTTCTATGGAAACCTCAATCACATTGCCTGACTTTCTATGGAAACCACAATCACACTGCCTGACCTTCTATGGAAACCACAATCACACTGCGTGACTTTCTATGGAAACCTCAATCACACTGCTGAACCTATGAGCTTTATCAATGCACCTGACTTTCTATAAATACAATCACACTGTCGACTTTCTATGGACACCACAATCTACTGACTTTCTATACGACCACAATCACACTACCTGACTTTCTATACAAACCTCAATCACACTGCCTGACTTTCTATGGAAACCTCAATCACACTGTCTGACTTTCTATGGACACCACAATCACACTGCCTGACTTTCTATGGAAACCACAATCACACTGCCTGACTTTCTATGGAAACCTCAATCACACTGCCTGACTTTCTATGGAAACCTCAATCACATTGCCTGACTTTCTATGGAAACCACAATCACACTGCCTGACCTTCTATGGAAACCACAATCACACTGCGTGACTTTCTATGGAAACCTCAATCACACTGCCTGACTTTCTATGGAAACCTCAATCACACTGCGTGACTTTCTATGGAAACTTCAATCACACTGCCTGACTTTCTATGGAAACCTCAATCACACTGCCTGACTTTCTATGGAAACCTCAATCACACTGCCTGACTTTCTATGGAAACTTCAATCACACTGCCTGACTTTCTATGGAAACCTCAATCACACTGCGTGACTTTCTATGGAAACTTCAATCACACTGCCTGACTTTCTATGGAAACCTCAATCACACTGCCTGACTTTCTATGGAAACCTCAATCACACTGCCTGACTTTCTATGGAAACCACAATCACACTGCGTGACTTTCTATGGAAACCTCAATCACACTGCCTGACTTTCTATGGAAACCTCAATCACACTGCCTGACTTTCTATGGAAACCACAATCACCTGACTTTCTATTGAAACCTCAATCACACTGCCTGACTTTCTATGGAAACCTCAATCACACTGCCTGACTTTCTATGGAAACCACAATCACACTGCCTGACTTTCTATGGAAACCACAATCACACTGCCTGACTTTCTATGGAAACCTCAATCACACTGCCTGACTTTCTATGGATCACACTGCCTGACTTTCAATCACACTGCCTGACTTTCTATGGAAACCACAATCACACTGCCTGACTTTCTATGGAAACCTCAATCACACTGCCTGACTTTCTATGGAAACCACAATCACACTGCCTGACTTTCTATGGAAACCACAATCACACTGCCTGACTTTCTATGGAAACCTCAATCACACTGCCTGACTTTCTATGGAAACCTCAATCACACTGCCTGACTTTCTATGGAAACCACAATCACACTGCCTGACTTTCTATGGAAACCTCAATCACACTGCCTGACTTTCTATGGAAACCACAATCACACTGCCTGACTTTCTATGGAAACCTCAATCACACTGCCTGACTTTCTATGGAAACCACAATCACACTGCCTGACTTTCTATGGAAACCTCAATCACACTGCCTGACTTTCTATGGAAACCTCAATCACACTGCCTGACTTTCTATGGAAACCTCAATCACACTGCCTGACTTTCTATGGAAACCTCAATCACATTGCCTGACTTTCTATGGAAACCACAATCACACTGCCTGACTTTCTATGGAAACCACAATCACACTGCCTGACTTTCTATGGAAACCACAATCACACTGCCTGACTTTCTATGGAAACCTCAATCACATTGCCTGACTTTCTATGGAAACCACAATCACACTGCCTGACTTTCTATGGAAACCACAATCACACTGCCTGACTTTCTATGGAAACCTCAATCACACTGCCTGACTTTCTATGGAAACCTCAATCACACTGCCTGACTTTCTATCAATCACACTGCCTGACTTTCTCATGGCCTGACTTTCTATGGAAACCACAATCACACTGCCTGACTTTCTATGGAAACCTCACTTTCTATGGAAACCACAATCACACTGCCTGACTTTCTATGGAAACCACAATCACACTGCCTGACTTTCTATGGAAACCTCAATCACACTGCCTGACTTTCTATGGAAACCACAATCACACTGCCTGACCTTCTATGGAAACCACAATCACACTGCCTGACTTTCTATGGAAACCACAATCACACTGCCTGACTTTCTATGGAAACCACAATCACACTGCCTGACTTTCTATGGAAACCTCAATCACACTGCCTGACTTTCTATGGAAACCTCAATCACACTGCCTGACTTTCTATGGAAACCTCAATCACACTGCCTGACTTTCTATGGAAACCTCAATCACACTGCCTGACTTTCTATGGAAACCTCAATCACACTGCCTGACTTTCTATGGAAACCTCAATCACACTGCCTGACTTTCTATGGAAACCTCAATCACACTGCCTGACTTTCTATGGAAACCTCAATCACACTGCCTGACTTTCTATGGAAACCTCAATCACACTGCCTGACTTTCTATGGAAACCACAATCACACTGCCTGACTTTCTATGGAAACCACAATCACACTGCCTGACTTTCTATGGAAACCACAATCACACTGCCTGACTTTCTATGGAAACCACAATCACATTGCCTGACTTTCTATGGAAACCTCAATCACACTGCCTGACTTTCTATGGAAACCTCAATCACACTGCCTGACTTTCTATGGAATAGCAATATGACATGAAAGGCTTTGCAACTTTCACATTGTGCGTCACATCCATGTAGGTGACTGTGTAAAAATATTTCCTCAAAAGCACATTTATTCAATATGAGATCACATGGTGTGTATGCTTTTACATGAACAAAGAATTTGGTAGAAATATGGAAATGTAGAACAGGTTTCTAGATACTGAAGGTTCAGCCCCAATTCCTGATGAATGGATTGGGTGGAATGGAGAGAGAATTGTGCATCATTGAAAAATTCAGTAGGTCTATTCATCAAAAATAATTTTGGTTTCGTTGATTCGAGTTTAATCCATGTGGAGTTTTTGAGTGAGTTTCTTCCGTGCAATCATTTTGGGAAAAGCGATTGGGATGAACCAAAAGTGTCATGAAAATTGGCCAGTTAGTATTCTGGTTTACAGATTAAGTGAGAAAAAGTAACCATTAGAGAGAGAAAAAATTATATTATATGTTAATTTAATATAAAAATATAGATATATTTTTTACTGCTTCTTTCTCTCACCTCTCCCTCTCTTTTGGTCACTTCTCACCAAATCACAGAATAAAATCAATATTGAGTGTCTTTCCCTAGCCACCAATCATCTTTTTTCCCATCACTCATCTTTTCTTGTTTAGTGCCTCGGATGGAACCCCCGAATCACAAAACAAACAAACGGTTAGTCTATTGTCTGTTTTGTTTTTGATTGGTGAGTCATCCATATGGTGATTCGGAGTTCTGGACTTTTGGTCAATTTGCTGATTGCCCAAATCGTGTGAGAATTGTGATTAGTTTGACACACACAGGTTTAATAAATACAGTGAATACATTTGGGGTAATACAAATAATAACAGATGGACAAGTTACTAGAGCCAGCATCCCTCAAACTCAGAGGAGGAAATGGTGGAGATAGAAGGTCGCTTTGCTCCATCGAGCTGTGCTGTGTAGGGGTGGAAAGGGGTGTCTTTCTTGTGTTGGAGTTTGGTGGAAATCTGGCCTGGGTCCAACATGATTGAGACTTGATTATTCTTTGGCATCTGTTTGGTGTGAAGCTGGTCGAAGAGCAGAGTGGGCAGGTGGCTGCCAAACAATGAACTCTTCTTACAATAGGTACCCTGGATAGGAGTCTCATCAAATGCACAGAGCACGGCTCGTATTGGGAATGGAGATCTCTTGTCATGACAAGAAGGGATCTATCCTGATCTGCGTGCAGAGTGCTGTGTGTGGGGAGCTTTGTGTTTGTTCACGAACGCGTTGAATGCTTATTGATAGTTTATCATTGTTCCATCATAGCTGAGGATTAACTCTTTAAAGACAGATTTATTTTTGATTGATGCCGTATTAAGGTGTCTGTGCTTTTTAAACAAACTTTCTTATTATATAATAATAAACAGTTTCCCCAGTACACCATGGTGAGCAGCCAGTGAAAGAGAGAGCCCTTCGTTCCAGCAGGCAAAGAGTTAAAATAGCCAGAGAATTAAACTATTATCACTTTACCAAATTACAGGCTCCAGATAAAAAAAAATGCTCCAATTTCACTTTCTTTCCCCAAAACATGGCAGTTGTAATCAGGAAGCAGTGATTTGCAAAACATCATACAGAAGATTTAGGTCAAAACAGTTGGGTAGGGGAAATTCTCCAAAAATGTTTGGCGTTTAGTTTTTTCCTACTTGGTTTAGATTAAAAATTTCAGTCAGCTAGCTGCTCACTGAAACTCACAGTTTAGTGAATAAGCCCCCTAATGTCATTCACAGCCCCAGACTATGACTTTATCCATCATAATATCTACACGAGAGCTCTAAATTATGGGAACTGGATCAGAGGAAAATGTCCTGAATATTCAGTTTAAAATGAATAAAGATATGATCAAACACATTGAAAGACAGACGGACACCAATTGAAGTACCTTTCACTTACAGACTTTCCCAATAGTGATTGTTATAAATTATAGATCAATAAAGATTATCTGTTACTCTGACTCTCTCCAAAAAGAGTTCTACGGCAATCTAATAGAAGGAGAGGAAGTTTTTATCATTGTAGTTTGTGTATAAAAGCAGCAGTGAGTGTGGTAATAAGGGTGACCCGAAGTTTGTGTTACTAACAATTTGCTCTACAATTCCAAGATTTTACTATTAACATGACGTAAAGTCATGATTTTATTAATGACCCGGAGGCGAGTATTATACTTCTCTTTCTTTTAATTTCCCTCAGCAGCGAAGAGAAATGTATACAAAAGAGAAAAACAACATAACATTTGCATATTTACAGTGCTACCAATCAGCATCCACCCCCTTAGTATATAAGGTGTAGCACTCCATCCTTCTTCCTCTTTCTGTAGCGACCTGAAGACCAGCCAATAACCAAACAGTAAACTTGAACTGAAACTGGAACGCCGGATAACAGCCGTTCATCCATCTCTTATGGAACCACTGTAGAACTGTCCTTCAAACTTCAGCACCTCGATAGAAGTATTCAGGCTATAAAAGAGGAGAAATATGGTAATATCTCGGTTGTCACCTGGTTGTAACATATACCTCAATACATATACGGCTACAAAGGCCTAGAGAAAAAAATCATAAACCATAAGACATGATACCCATCAACAAAAAATTACAAATAACCTGATAAGTTAATAAACATGTCCAACCATATGAGGAAAAGGGGGCAAAGCATGTAAGGTATGAGTAGAGAGAACAAAAACCCAATGTATGACTGACAAGATGTGAATTCCAACAACCCTACCCAGGGAGGGCGGGAGGGAATAATACTCGCCTCCGTGTCATTAATAAAATCATGAATTACGTCATGTTAATAGTAAAATCTTGGAATTTTATTAAAGACACGGAGGCTCCTCTTTTAAAGCTGAGCTATAACCCTTTCCGAGAAGTGTTGGATTGGTTTAAAATAAAAGTTTCGGAATGTGGATTCCGTAGACCAATCCGCAGCCTTCAAAATGTCCTCCAATCTACATCCTACCACTGATGCTTTGGAGGCCATAGCGCCCCTGACGGAGTGGGATGAAAAAACTGTGACATCTATCCCGGCTGAAGCCAATAACCACTTGACCCAACAAGCGAGCGTAGGTGTAGAAACAGGAAGATGAAGTTTCTTCAACGAAATTAATAAAGGTCCGTCGTTTGAGAAGCGTAAAGTTGAAATGCGAGATTCATATTCTTTTAGACATAACATCAGGCATAGATTTGGTTGAGTTGGAAGTCTTGGGTAAAATACTTGCTTGGTCGCCGATTTCGTTCTCCGTGAGATATCAAAAGACACCCCTTCCGGAGTGAACACACGAGCCTGCCAATCCAAAGTTCTGACGTCAGACACCCGTTTGCAGGAGAGCAAACAAAACAGCATGAGCAATTTTGCCGACAACTGTTTCAACGATAAGTCTGCGTTTGTGGGCCAATCGTCTAAGAGCCTGAACACTACGTTAACATCCCAGAAGGATCCATATCTGGGTTTCGGTGGACATGAGAAATGAACACCCTTGAGCAGGCGACAGACCATGGGATTCTGTCCGAGTGGAAACCCGTCCACATAATCATGAAGATAGCAGATCGGTACAGGCTGACGGTGCGGAAGGCCTTGCCTGTTTCGAACAAGTGCGTCAAAACACCGATTTCACAGAGGCTGATACAGGATCCACCGATTGTTCCAAGCACCAATTGGGCCACGTTCTCCATGCCGCAAAATAGGAATGCCACGTTCCCGGTGCCCAAGCGTTTGCCAAGAGCTAGGTAGTTGTTCTTGATACCTCTGTGATTTCCCAGGGTCCCCGGAAAGGAGCCACGCCAGGAGACGAAGAAGCCCCTGCTCTATCAGGTTGTGACTCTCCCCGTCCAAGTTGGTTAGAAGAAGAGGGTGATCCGGTAACAACCGTGGATAATGGATTGCCATTTCCAGTAGGTGGGGAAACCAAGGTTGAGACATCCAACATGGGGTTATCAGGACCATCGTGCACTTGTAGCGTCGGTGGTACGCCATAGTCCGAGCAATCAGGTTGAATGGAGGAAAAGCGTACGACCGGCCCTTGGTCCAATCCTGGAGGAATGCATCCGTTACTACGGCTTCTGGGTCCGGTCTCCAGCTGAAAAACTGAGGAGGTTGCGTGTACAGTCTGGATGCAAACAGATCCACACTGAAAGGTCCCCCTAACCGAGCAATCCTGTCGAACACACTCGGTTGGAGCATCCAATCTACCAAGTCCCTCCAGTTAACGAGAGTTCCAATCCGCGGTGTAATTGTCCAGACCTGGTATGTGTTCCGCGGTCACTGACACGTTGTTCTGCAAGCAATAATGCCAAAAGTCTTGAGCCAAGACCATCAAGATGCGTGATTTGGTGCCTCCCAGATGGTTTATGTACCGGACAGCCGAGACGTTATCCAGCTTGAGCAGGATCGAGCATGAGATGCCCCTGGGTGAGAGACTGCGAATGGAAAACGAGGCTGCCAGAAGCTCCAGGGACAAGTGGACTAAAAGTAGGGACCGTGTCCCCGATAATATGAGGATGTCGTCCAGATATATGATAAGCCGCACCCTGTGCAACCTGAGGAAGGCAACTACCGGCTTCAGTATCTATGTGAAGCACCAGGGAGCGGAGGACATTCCGAAAGGGGAGGCATGTGAATTGTAGCATATCCCTGTGATCCGCCGCTATTGGGACCGCCAGATATGCATCCTGCAAATCAAGCTTGACCATCCAGTCCCCCGGGAGAAGTAAGTCTCAGAGGCAGTGTATGCCCTCCATCTTGAAGTGATGATATTGAACAAAGGCATTTATTGGCTGCAGGAGAGGGATTTACATACCCTGAGAGCTAGGTAATGAGCGATATGCTCGGAGGGCTCCCATTCAGCGGAGCGAGGGTGTCTTAAATTGTCTGGATCAAACAAAGGTGTAGCACTGTGAATATGCAAATGTTATATTGTTTTTTCTCTTTTGTATACATTTCTCTTCGCTGCTGAGGGAAATTAAAAGAAAGAGAAGCATAATAGGAGCCTTCGTGTCTTTAATAAAATTCACATTGACCCTGTAGTGCCGTTTCCCTTTTTTTCCACTACTGGCACAACATTCCTGATTTGTGATGCTGTGTAAGAAGAATGGATACTAGTCAGTTCCACGGTCTTTCTGTTGTGCTGCTAGTGATACATTGTCTTCTTATTGATAGTGTGGGTGTTGCAATCCATAATCTTGGTTACCATGGCGAAGAGTGCGATGGCAGCAGTGGGCATTCCATGTAATCTCCTGCTTTTTCTAAGTAGAATCGGCAGCTGAATGCCACTCCCCATTGGTTAGAGTCTCTCGCTCTGCCCTTGCCAGAAGTTACTGTGATATTAAGTTCATCATGATAAACTTCACACGTCGCTGGTCTATTCTGTGACATATTTGTCACAAGACCAACAGGACCTGGACTTAGGCATCAGACTGCGATATCATTTATGTTTATCTAATGTTCTGTTTTGCCAAGGGCAGTTTTACCAAAAACCTCATTACAGCAGTTTGCCCAAATAACCATGGGTAGCTGCAATGACCAATGCCCAGATATATAGTTCTATTTAGTGATGAATTCACATGTCAGGCACAAAGTTCTAAAGCGCCCCTTGCTCCTCAACCCAATAAAAGATATAAATAAATACATACAAATTTATTAACAGGACATCACAGGCCTAGAACATATAAAAAAAATCATATTTCACAACTGCGTATGTATATATGTATAAATGTACATATCTCTACTTTTACTGTAAATACGCACAGGGTTAAAGATAATTAGACGTGGTTATGGGTTAAGGCTAGAGAGGGGTTAGGTTACATAGGGTGATTAGTGTGCTAGTATGATGGAGGTTAGGGTTAGTGATGTGTTCAATTTAGTATTGGGGTACATAGGGTGTTTACGTTTCAATAGGAGTAAACATAGGATTAAGGTAAAGGGTTTATTTTCAGGTTTAGGGTTTGAGTGCTGGAGTTTGAAAGGTTACTTGCAAAGTACTCACCTCCCTATGTATTCTGCAGACCATTCATATTGATGATATTAGAGCTGCGGGAGTTGTTATACAGTGTGCATCACTCAGAGCTTTCCCTCCTCCTCCAGGAGGCATTTCCTGCGAGGAGGCTGTTAGTGGACAGACAGGAAGTGATCCCTTACACTTCCTGTCCAGCCTCACACACAGACACTGGAGGAGATGGGGCAGAACTGAGTTTTACACTCTCTATTACTGTTACTGCAGCTCTGCTATTAAGGCCAACTGGACTACAGAGGACACTGGCCAAGGCTCCTGGTAATAATCTCCCCACCAGCCTGTTTTAGTCAAATGAAACACATAATATGTGGTGAAAATAGACACCCCCAAATGCCTACTCTATGTAATGGGAAATCCGGCCCTGGTTACATTTTAGTTGTGGTGAGACTCAATGTTAAGATGCTGCCTGCAATCCCCTTAGTCTCCATTGACTGATTATAGAGCTGCATACTGTATTGCCATTGGTTGAAATGTAGCTGGCCTGGTAGATGCATTTGCATAATGTATTACCATTGGCTGGAATGTAGCTGGCCTGGTAGTCTCATTTGCATACTGTATTGCCATTGGCTGGAATGCAGCTGGTCTAGTACTCTAATTTGCATACTGTATTGCCATTGGCTGAAATGTAGCTGGCCTGGTGGTTTCATTCGAATAGTGCATTGCAATTAGCTGGAATGGAGCTGGCCTGGTACTCTCATTTGCATACTGTATTGCCATTGGCTGAAATGTAGCTGGCCTGGTGGTTTCATTCGAATAGTGCATTGCAATTAGCTGGAATGCTGCTGGCCTGGTACTCTCATTTGCATACTGTATTGCCATTGGCTGAAATGTAGCTGGCCTGGTAGTCTCATTTGCATACTGTATTCCCATTGGCTGTCCTGCTAGTTCCATCTTCATTTGCATAACACTATACATAAACCTATTCCTACAAAAACAGAATAAAGAAAAGTTAAAGTTAAGAATGTAGTGCTGTAGTTTTTTTTTAAAAAAAGTTTTGAAAAGATGTATTCCATATGTCCAGGGAAAATGTTTAAAAATACGTTTAAAGTTAAAATAATTGAACTCTAACAATCTTTTTCCATATTGTTTACGATTAACAGATTGCATTGGGTTGTATGAGAATTGAAATGCGCTGATATAAATTTACCTTAATTAAAGTATAGTACATTATGTTTTTTGGCAGACGTGATAGTTCACTAATAGTGTATTTCTTTTCTCCACTGTGCACAAAATCTTTTCTGGCATAAATATATAAACAGATGTCTAAAATAAATAATAAAAAATACGTTGAACAAAGCAAGATGTAGGATGCTAACAAAAAAAAGTAGGAAAAAGTAAAGTAATCAATTTTACTATATTTTAACATCTTAGAAAGTGATTGTGAGACTGAAACACTGTTACTGATTGCAACGCAGTTGAAGAATTATCTTGGGCACAATGCCATGCGTTCAACAGTAAGGCGATTTGCCCACCACGACACCATGTGTGAACATCAAAAGTGATTGTGCTGAGTACAAGTCAGGTATACCAAACTGCTATCGAGGCTGACAAGAAGAGTCTTTTTTTAAGACGATATGCCAAAGCTAATTCACTACTTGCGGAAGATTGCTTATAAAGAAAAATAGAAATCTTATCTTCTTCCTGGGATATGATAGACAGTAATCAGTATAAACATTCTGCCAGTGTATCAGTACAGATGAGATGTAAAAATGCACGTACCTCTAACACTAACAGGATAAACTCACTGCTAAACGGGCATTTGGAGTATTGAAATCTCTATTTGCAATATTAAAAAACCTAACAAACAGATTTTTCATAACTCTGCTATTTTGGGCCAAATTGGACACATTTAGTTTTCAGTTTAACCCACCGCAAATATCAAAATAACAGATTTCATTGCAAAGTATTTTGTCAGAATTAAAGATCCAAAAAAACCCCCATATAAAATATAAGTGATATAAAAGATATAAGTTTCACTAAAACACTTCTTTGATCCCACATACGTTTTTTGTTGTCAGGATTACTCAGTAATGTGTGACGTGGAAGGAATTCAAAGGGAATTTGACATTTTAAGTTGAATCAAAAGCCAATCAGTTCTCTATAATTCTGTTTAACATCTAAACCTATTAGAAACAACCTTTATATAAAATATTTCGATATGATCGTTTAGGTTTATTATTATGTTATCATTTATTATTTATTTATGTTATTATGTATTATAATATAATTATTATTATTAATATATTAATGTTATTATGTTATTGTTTATCATTTAGAAATCTGACGGTCTTTTGCTTTTCTTTTCTGTTCCTCATTCTCGCACCCAAATAGCATTATTGAAATACTGGGGCGAGTAGTGCAGTATAAGTATGGCTGTAGGTGGGTGGTGTAATCGCTCATGAAGGTCCAAGTTTGCCCTAAACACTGGGGCCCAGCCTGGTAAGTGCAGTACAATCGTGTGTCCATTTGGGCATTCCTTTTATAATACTGAATGTGTACTTAAATCTGGGTTTTCTTTTTTCTTTCTTTCTTTTTTTTTTTGCAGTGCATATAATAAATACAAACTTGCTTGAGGTACCCCAACGGCATTCCTCGAGCTGCTTAGCATAGATAACAGGTGGGGTAAACGCTAGGCAATGCACAATTTTATAGTATATGTTATATGTTATATAGTATGTTTGCTATAACACTGGTGAAACCTAAGAGTAGTTATGGTAGAGTAATTATCAAACATGACATTTGGTATATCATCTTACTGGTAAAAGATAGGTACTTAGTGTAATTGATCATGGTAAGGTAAGGGATACCGTGAGCAGGAGCAGGCTGGTTCAACCTGTCTAGGCTGGGACACATGCGTATGGTGAGATGGACAGGCTAGCCAAACATTGGGATTTGTGTACAGGAAAATGTCGCTAGAAAACAGGTTAAGTCTAGCTGTCAGTACCTAAACACGCTTGCATGTTAGTATGATGTTGCTTGAAATCTGACCTTGAGTGCACGGTTATACTAAATTATATAAAAAAGGGACAACAGGTCAACAGAAATTAAAGGGACACTGTAGTCACTATAACCACTTTGTCTCTTTGAATTGGTTATAGTGCCTGGAGTGGCCTGGCACTGTCCCTCCATTCAGTGTTGCACCATGTTTGTGCAGTATGCCACAAAATAAGAGTCCCTAGCCACCCACAGTCCGGCCCCTTCAGTATGTGTAGCTAAGGCAGAGATTACACACTTCCTTGTTGTCATACCCATTCGTACCGTCAGTTGGAGCTCTGACAGGTTAAAAGTAGTCAGCTGACACGCTCAGCCAATCACAGCTGCCAATTGCCTCTCAGGGTAATACTTCCTTATTAGCCAAAGCAGCACAGAGGGAATAGACTGCCGTGGACTCTTGTTTAGCATTAAAACATTACAACATTAAAAACTGTTTAATGCTGAAAGAAATGATGGTACCAGGGGACTCCAGACACTATAACCAGTTTAATGAGATGAAGCAGATACAGTGCCTACGGTGTCCCTTTAAAGAGACTGAAAGTCCATGCCGTCGTGCAGAAGTCATCTCCCGTGCTCGGATGAAATATTTTGTCTTCTGTCCACTGAGTAGCGCGAAGTCAGCCGACTCCTGATCTGCAGAGCAGCTGGTGTTGCGTGCAAGCTGCGTGTGGGTCTCCGTGCCCATATGGTGATAGTAGTGGCTGGCTTACATGCTGTATCCAAGGCTGGAGTGGAGCGGGGCGTTGCAGTCCTCTGGACCCCGGAGTTGCCAGGTAAGTTTGAGTGTTCTTCTTTTCCAGTTGTGCTTTATGTTCCTGGCGGTATTTCATTTGGGTGTTTGTCTTCTTGTGCTGTGGTAGAAAACGCCGCTTGGTCTGCCGCCATTTTGAGGTCCGGTTTGCAGTGAGGACTTTTGGGTTCCTTCTCCCTTGTTGAGGCTGCTTTTTGGGCAGATGGCTGCTTGGCAGTTGTGAGGCAGGTAGGTGCGCTCTGCTCTCTAGCTGGTGCCAGAATTTTTCAAATAGTTGGTCTAGTCTGAGCTGGAGGTCGGGCAGCTGTCTTCTTTTATCAGAGGTGCTCTGTACCACCATTTTACAGGAGTTATCCTCCCCTTCTTGTCGCTGATCAGACATGCCTCCAGACCCCACAGCACGGCTGGTAGGTGCCGGGATTTCCCTCACCGGCAGGGGGGGGAGATTTTGCTGTGCTCTGATGGACCCTGCGAAGGTGTCAGAGCCCGAGGGTAGAGGGATTGGCGGCCTCCCTTTCTCCCTCGTGTAGTAGGCCTCCATCCTCCCGAGATCCAGAACCGCCAGACGCCGGTCAAGCTCCGGTCGATTAATATGCGTGAGGGCTCATACAAGTGATGTAGGTATTGTAATCTTCGGTTTTTTTTCCTGAAAATTGTGGTTAGTCGATAGTTTCGATTATTTTCCCCAGGAGCTCGGCTAAGATGCGTCTGGGTAGCTCGGCAGTTAGGCTCCGCCCCAAACCAGAGCTTTCTTAACGCATGGGCACACGCAGGGCAGTTGCCGGGACCCCACCCGCATAGGGGCCCATAGGTTTTCCAAATTTTCTGTATTTTATTTTCGGAAGGTTTATTCAGAACCTTGAAACCCTCTTTATTAAAACGTTTAGGTGGACTAATCACCTCAGTACCACAAGTTATCTGTACATGCGATCTTGCAACATACAATGTACACGCACTAATTGTTCATAAGCAAGATAAATTCAACTCACACAATTTTTTTAAGCCGTAAAGGTATAATAAAGTTCTTATATTTTTAACAGTCCATGTCATATGCCTCCCCCTGCCAACTACTAAACATTTGTGTGAATTAATCTCTGCTGTACAGCATGTTTTTAATGCTTAAACACTGATTTTGTTGGGGGTACCAATAAATATAAGCTTTGTTTTATCGATAATTTGCATTTTTATTCCTGTGGGTGGTCGTGTAGGCAGGTCCTCAGTGCACAGCTTTGCCCGGGGGCCTATAATGTTGTTAATATGGCCCTGGCTTGCACCACACACACACAGCATCATGGGAGTTTAATTAATTTGCATGATATACAAAGCTACAACTTAGCCCTATTTAAGAAAGCCAACTATAAAATTATCTTCATTTAGAACAAGCTGAAGCATAAGGTACAGTGCATTTTATTGATATACAGAGTCACAGCTTCATATGCTTCATTTTAGTCTATATCAGGAAGAAAGCAGACTGATCACGTCTGTTTGTTTATTTATTTAATTATTTAGTTATTTGCATTTGAAGCAAAATGGACATCACACTTGTTTTTTTTTCACCTAGTTAATATGCAATAAAAATCGGGAACTGGGGCCGCTGTCACCAGCATGTAATATAAATGTTATTAGACGGGGTGGAGTTAGCTCTTGAATTGAGCAGTTGCATGCTGTGGGTTCTCCATCTGAGTGGCACGAATCTGCACAAATTAATTGTTTAAAGTGCATTTTTGACAACTTGGAAGCCTTAGAATATCTATGGGGTGGATGACCAAGAAACTTAACTAGATTACTTCTCCGACTCCTCTGAAGACCTATCTCTGCATAGAATAGAGGACAAACTTGGGCTTTCAGGGACCCTCCAAGCCTTCTCATCTGAGGGAGCCTCTAACCCTGTTACCATAGCCATCCTCACAGGCCTCCTGGCAGACCTCAGTCAAAGTTAAAGCCAGATTTACTATAGTGGAATGGACCACAGGGACTCATAGCACACAAATCCCCGACTTACAGAAGCAGGTAGGTGACCCTACCTCAGCCCAATTCCAACGAGACTACCAATTAGTGGCCCTGGAGGACAAAAGAAGGTGGAAACACCTGAAAATCAAATACTGCCTAATGCAATCACCATGGCTGACGGCCACTCTTTCTACACAGACTATTTACGTCCCTATTACCTCTCAAATAAGTGAAAGGCATACAATTGCATTGCATGTTTCTCCTATCAAAGCCTCAATCAAACAAGGATGGTGCCTCCAGTGATCTCCTGATAAAGTTTCAAAAAAGGCAAGATAAAGCTGCCTTCTTGACTGCAACCAAAGGGAAGACCCATAAAAAACTCACTTTCTTTTCCAACCTCTCCTGTATGACCCTGCAGTGGAAGAAATCACTTTGAACCCTTACAGACATCTTATCTTCTCATAGCATGAAATACCAATGGGGTACTCCCTGTTCATTGATCGTCCAAAACAATAACACAGTGACCGATGCCTCAGAAATGGAAACTATCCTGCCTACACTAGGCCTTGGCCAAAGCTTTCAACCAACTGTTGCAAGGAACACGGCAGTGGCTGCTACCGTATGGGATCCTACAAATATTGTCCCATTTACACCTGCAACTAGAAGTGCTACAAGTGTGGTTGTTACCTGATTGTTTATAACTTTTCTATTTGTACTTGTCCTCTTTTTATTTATTTTCTTATTTTTTTGCACTTTATATTTTCCTTTGGCGACAACCTACCCTTTACACACCTTATAAATGCCATGATTTTCAAGTCTATGTTGGCCAAGACCAAGTTTGTGCCAGCCAAATTTGACCCACGTTCCAGCAGCTGTCTCTCATTTTTCGCCCGAACCCAGGGAGCTGTCTATCCTAACATTCTACGACACAATTTTATGACGCATATTCCTTTTTCTTTTCACAGTCTGTTTCAGCTGAGCAATTCTCATAAATCTATGGTATATGATATCCGGCATCTGCTATACCATAACAAAATCCTATAGTCAGACAAGTAGTCCTTTTATTGATATTGTGCACTACGTATCTACCGATGTACATATTTTATTGCACTTTGTTATTTCTACTTTATGTCTGACTGTGAAATAAATAAGGAATTTTTTTAAATGTTAATAGAAAATGTTAATAGTCTAATTTTACCGTCTTTGAAAATATAGGGCCTAGATCCGTACCTGGACAATTGGTCAAGAACAAAAAACAATGTAAAAACCAGATATAACTTAAAAAGAAAAGACAATTCTGTGGAACAGAATCTTTAAACATAAAAGATCACACTATACACACAGGGGAGCACGATAACTGCTTCTTAGTAAAGTACTTTGAGCAATTATTTATTTTGTGTATAGTCTGATATACTAGGCTTATACTATATTACCTGCAGACTCTCCTGGCTGTGAGAATTCTGGTTATAATGGGATATTCATAGAACAAAGTGTTTGAGCGTGTTGTAATGTGAATATTACTGAGTGTGTTTCGTCTGTGATTATTTTACAATTATCACTCTTGAAGCATTTTTTCAAGCCACGTTACAACTAAGGATTAATTAGCATCTCATTCGGAGTAGCAAATGAAGGGGAATGGTCTGAAGTCATGTTTACATGATTAAATAGTCTCCCCTCCTTGCTGCCACAGTCTGCTCCAATCTATCCCTTTTGTTCCTCTTATTGAATGGATAAAGGGTGCAGTGACCATTACAAATCGCAGTGTTTATGGCGTGGGATCTGATCGCTATTCCTTTGGCTAAATGATGTGCCGTGTCTTATGTACTGATTAAATAGCTCACACTGAGCCCATTAGCAAAGAATTAAAGCCTATTAGAAAACCCCAAAGAAATGGTGGTTACAATATGTACTAAAACAAGGGCTTAGTGCAGCTGAACACCGCATTAAAAAGGATCCACGCAGCCCGTGGCTTCAGGACAGATTGGTGGCCTCTCATTCCAATGACCAAATAAGATGTAGCTTTTAAATGATACAAATAAACAGATAAAATGTGTAGTGCTGTAGACATGCGCAGGACATTACGTTACCCAGAGAAAAATAAATCCCAGTCCAAACTTAAAAACGTAATAAAGAAATTTTAAAAGAGTGCGCAACAAAAAACAAAGTGTTTGCACTAGTGATAACACGGTGTATATAGAGTCAGTTAAAAGTAGACCAAGCTAACCCAGACCCAAGCCAAAAAAAGAGATCCATACAGAGGAGTAGACAGTATGTCTCTGCATTGGGTTATCCCTGGATATATTCATTTGGAAGATCCCGAATATATTTCTAGTTGTGTTGAATATTGGCCAGATATTTTTTTTTGGGGGGGGGGTTTACGTGTGAATGGCTTTGAGGACCTAGAATGAATATTATTGGATGAACTTTTAAAATGAATAATTATTATGAAAAATATTTTATTTGTGTAATAATATTTTAATATGTTTGATACATTGATATATTTTATATAAATTATATATTTTTTTGGTATTTTAATTTGTAGAAGAAAAAAAAAACTTTTTAAAAGTTTATCTAAAAATATTAAAATATTTTGGCCAAGTTTATCCAACAATATTTAAATCATACTATAGACTGTAAGCTCGTTTGAGCAGGGTCATCTTCAACCTATTGTTCCTGTAAGTTTTTGTAATGGTCTCATTTATTATTAAATCTCCCCCTTTGATAATATTGTAAAGCGCTACGGAATATGCTGGCGCTATATCAATACCATTAATAATAACAATAATAATAATAACAATAATTCAATTATCACTGTGAACAAGGGCCATATTTTGTATAACCGTATATTTTATTTGTAAAAAGTCCAGAAATAGATTGTTACTGTATATGTATTCAAGGTTATTAACTAACACGTGAATTGTACGATTCATAGTGAATTTCAATTTTAGACGAAAAGAGCCAAACTGAAAAACCCAGTCAACGAAAACTATTTTCCCAGTTTAGGTACTGTGGTCCAAAAAAATTTAATTCACTTTGAATTCCTGACAATTCACAATTTAGTGATTAACTAAGAAAGTGTTAAACGCATTGACATAACAAAAATGAATTCTGAGATTATAAATAATGTTATTTCATAAGCCAAACGCAAACCAAACAATTAAGTCTTTTAAGAAGACGGTAATCTTTGAACAATTAGTATGCAGGACTCACAACAAGAACTGATCACAATCCAGTATCGATATTTGATTGATAACATTTTTAGAATTTCAGCAAGAATTGTGTGTGTGTTATCAAGGTGATCACAATCTGAAAACAAGATTTTCCTGCCGGTGACAACACCAAGTCTGGAAACCGTTACCATCTAAATAACGCGTTTATTCCACGGTAATCACACGATCTTGAGATGAAAGCTATGAGATTTTAAGGTTAATAATCAATAAAATGGATCCACCTTGGAAAGGTCTGATCTGTTTTGTGTTATTAACCTTGTTGTGTTTAAATAGTGATACAGAGCGTATGTGTACTTTATTCGCTCTGATTGATCTACTACAAATTGTTTAGTGATGTTACTTTCACCGAGGCCTCGACTTA